TGCGAAAATAGATACCCTGTTCCAGAGAGGAGAGAGCATGATTTCATATACCCTGTTCCAGAGCGAGCGCGATTTTATATACCCTGTTCCAGAGTAGAATCGCTAAAAACCATACCCATAGCGAATATAGGGGAGTACCCCCCCGGGATTTTTTTAGCGCGCATTTGATAGACTGATCCAAACCTTTGCTGAGAATTCTTATGTTTCAGGTGAATAACCTTCGCGTGTCTTTGGATGAAGCGCGAACAAATGGTGACAGACTGCACAGAGAGAGCGAGATGGTCGTGGAAAACGTCAATAGCTGGGTACAAGAGCAAAAGTAAGAATAAGAACCTCGACGGTTTCTCATGCACTCAGTGTAAGATCATAGAGATTTTTTTCATTTATCATGAAAGGTAAAATTTTTTTTTTTTTTTTTTTTGTCTTCTACGCAGATATGGAAACGAAAAACTTGCATCAAAGTTGAGGTAAATACTGGAGACCTTCGCGAGCGAAATTGTCTATAAAAATCCATTTCACTAACTAAATGATTATATACTGATCTTTCATGATTTTCATAACTTTGTTACATTATTCCACTATTTCAACTTTCACTGGTATAGTTTGTACGCACTCTAATGCAATCTAATTACAATCTAAAATAATTGCTAAAAAGTGGTACCAATTCAGTGTTGTTGAAAAATCATATCATAATGCTTCAATCATGTTTTTTTGGTATTCAGAGAACAAAGCACACAGATCTCAAGCCTAATATCCGACAAGGAGTAAGTCAGTTGATGTTTTAATTATTATGACCAAGTATCATCATTGATTTTTATTCAAACTTTATAATATTCTAAAATTGTTTTCTTTTATTGTTTTAGAAACTTGTCTGAAACCTTAAACGCCCTTCAAAAAGAATGTTCTTCACTGAAAAGCGAGTTAGGTGAGTTGGTAGTTGGGTAAGGATGGGTGTAACTGATGGGTGAAGATATTGGTGATGATGGGTAAAGGTATTGGTGATGATGGGTGAAGGTATTGGTGATGATGGGT